ACTAGAAACATGAGTAACAAAACTCCGAGGCTCTCAAAAACTGAACAAAAGTATTTTATAATTCAAAAGAATAAATAACAGTCCAAACAACTCGATCAAAATCTAAACCCCCGAATATGCAATAACCCAAAATCAAAAGCCAAATCGCATAAACACAGACACACAGCACCACCATGCTGCCTTTTTATTAAGATACATAATACACTACTGAGATAACTGCAGAGGACCCCAGGATCAATAATTAAGCAAATAAATAGTTAAATGAATATTTTTAACTTAAGTTTTTCAAGTTGGAAGGTGGTTTTAGACACTCATGAATAACTACAAAAAAATTAATAAATTATACAGCCACTGACAGTGTTAATTTTTCATGTAATTTTTATTTATCTATTTTATTTTTCAAACATTTTTCCTGAGTCTAGATGATGGTTCACCTATAAACTGTTATATGGTGGGAACCTTAAATCTGTCCACTTGTGGTTAGTGTAACATTCATTTCTCTCAGCATCTCATCTTTAACCTAATTTCAAATATAGTTGGGATGCTGTGATAAAAACTGAATTAAATGGTTTTAAAATAATTAAATTTTTAATTTTAAAAAAGTAAACAATAAGTATAAAGAAATAGGTGATAAAGGATTTTGCAATCCAAACATTAAAAGAAAACCTGTTTGTTTACCACTTGTTTTTTTAATACTTGTGAGCCCTCCCTATATCCCCAGGCATAAGTGGCTTGCCTCAATTCCTTGGTTTCCTTTCTCACCCTAAGCTCCAAACAAGAGCACAGGCAAAAAGCAGAAATGCCACTATGAGACACTGCACACCCGTGCACTGTTCCTCTTCACTGAAAATTATCCAAATAAAGGGTGTTAAAATCATTTTACACTCCCTACACAGTAATGATACTCTAACTTCAATTTTTAGTAAGATGCACCAAATATTGTCGAGGATACACTAATAAATGATTTATGAAGCTAGGAAACTCATTTCAGGATTTTATGCAGACATTTTAGATTTAACAAGAGCTTTGATGGCTATTTTTTTATTTGGGTGAAATTACAGCTTAGAAAGGAATAGTGAACAAAAATTGATTTCAACATTTCATTCATTCATCTGTTTGTTTACAGTATTTACAGAAAAAAATTGAGATGAATGAATGGCATGGTGAGTATTATACTTAGTGTCAACCATGCAGTGAATGTGAGGGAGTTTAAATGAAGCTGTCATGCTCTTTTCATTAGCAGTTAATGGATCCCGCCTTTAGGGAAATTCAGTCATCTGTAGTATGCATATGCGGGGGTGAGTCTTCTGTGAGCAATTATTCAGTATTTCTGTTCTGTTGTTATTTCTTCATGAAAGTAGAGTGCACTTATAGTGCTCTAGTGTCGCATAGTCTTGCTTACCTGACATGATTAATAAGTTAAGTACTCCTAGAATCAACATGCATACATTGCTTACGTGTATAGTCAGTAAGGCGATAGTGCTGCCTTTGAAGTACAACCATTCTGGCCCTGCTGAAAGTCTTTCGTAGGAATTTTCTGTTGAGGCTTTTATGACTTGTTGGACAGTTTGACATTTTTGACGCTGAACTGCAACAAGTGTCAAATTTCTATTTCATCAAGTATGTGTCAATTTCCAATTTGAGTTGTCTTGTTCCTTGAAGATATCATTCCACAAAGAACAAAACATATCATTTACAGTACAAAATGTGGTGAGTCAGACATCAGAGCCTTTGAAGTTAGTACAAAGAAGGCACATACTCATTTTAAATGCTGTTAATAAGGAGCAGATCCAATCTTGCACACAGAGTCTGTTGAACGGTTGATGGAAGATGGGCTTTTATTCTGAAGAGCTTTGAAGTACTCCACCTGGGCAGAGGCTTATCCACGATTTAACAGCAGGGTACAGATCCAATCTAAAAACCCATGTTATTTGAGAGCAGACTCATATAAAAGACTCCTCTTGGGGAGTCACTAGTAAATGATGGGGTAAACTTTCTTTCACACTGGTCAAAAAGAGGCACTTAAAAAGTCTGTTTGGCCAAACTCAGGGATGAGTCATAAGCTTGATGTGCCTAACACCTCATAAATGTGGATGGAGATGAACTTAAAAATACTATTCATGAGCCAGAGTTAGACTTTTCATTTCCCATTTGACATTAAACAATGAAAGTGGTCTAGTTCCTCCAGGTTAGTTTGATGGCAGTTGGAAAACAGTCTCTGGAAAGACTACAGGTTCAGGAGTGCTTTGAAACGCATTGCTGTACAGTGCTTTGTCTCAGCCAGGCAAAGCTCAAAGTCTGTGTGGTCATTCGTGTAGTTGAACTTTAATACTCTAGTACCCTTAGATGTATGCTCTGTGATATATCTTCATGGTTTTGTTGTCCAACGATTAAATGTGTCTAACTTTTCTGTCACACAGAAAAACGATGTGAAAATCAGTCACTATTTGACACCAGACAAACAAAGGTGTGATTTGAAAATCACTTGCATTAAAACACAAAGTTTGGCTCTTTAATCATGCTGATACATACAGTAGAAGTAAAAAGCCTGTCTCCTCTCTCACATTACAGCATGCCAGGTTAAAACTTTCCATACCCTCGGGTTCATTGCTGACATAATGCCCAAAGAGAGTTTTCAAGTACATCCATATTAGATAGGATGGGATTTGAGGAAATTGTGTTTTCTTATGGGTTTGTCTTTTTGTTGATTTATTGCTCCCATTTCACATTTTATGAAAGTTTTATAGATTTTTGTTCTTTTCCTTGAGCTTTTCACATTGTCACACTTTGTTTCTTAGTGGAGAGGGAGGCATTAAAATCCCTTAAATGAGTTAGTAAATGAAACATTTACCATATGATTACATATGATGTACGTGTTATATAACTTTACTTTACCCTGTTGAGTATTTTCAGCTATTTATATGCACCCGCTTCAGATGTTGTCACTCCATTCAATGGGATGATTAACGTTGATAATGCCCATTGAATGGACCAAAAACATCCGAAGTCAGTGTTAATGTATTGTATGTCCAGCTTCTACAGTGAAATTGCTTCATTATAACCACATCGATTGTTGGACTTTGTATCTGTACATAAGAATTTCATGATGAAAGAACATTCACATAAATGGCATGCTGCCTCTTCTCAGTGATCACTACCTTCCACTAGAACTGAAAGGATGCTTGTGTTTTAGTGTTTTGTTTTGACCACCACTGTTTGCTTCTTAGAAGAGACTAACAGTGGGGGATTTAAAATGATGCCTTTATTGAATTGTTTGTGGGGGTTTTTTGTTCTTTTTTGAAAATCTAGTGAGGATGAGAGGTTTGAACTGGCAGTGTATTGTAAAATGTTTGTGTTAAGGTGTTTTCCCTAACGAATTCATGGCTCTTTACTGCTCTTAAAACACTGACTTTCTGTGGAAAGCGTTCTGAGTCATTTTACTATACTCAATATGCTTACTGCTCCAAGTCAACATATGCGACTCAAAAACTTCCACTGATTTCCAATTAATCACGCCAGTCTTATAGATATTACACTTGATTGTTTAAATACAGTGTTTACTATCATTGCATTTAAAATATAGTCTAAGGGTTGTTAGTATACTATTGCTTTATACATAGTTCCATTTACTACAAGGTGCATAAGTGCGCTTTATTAAACAGCTGAGCTTCAGTCTTCCATCTTTCCTTCATAGAAGCGCCTGGTTATTTCTTATGGGGACAGTATTAAAAGTCTAAGTGTATGTAGACTAATGTGATTTCAAAGCATAGTCATATGACCATTTTACACCGAACACAAGCTCCCACAACTGACTGATAACAAAAATATAAAGTTGATATATAGCGCCCTCTTGTGTTAAAATTGTAAAACAAACATATACAGGAAGCTGCAGTTAGACATTCTGTTTTTATTATGAAATGTTGCTTTTGCTGATTTATCCTCTCACCCTCTCTTAGAAATATTAAGAAGAGAAACATGCTCAAGTACTTAAAGAAGCACCAGGCTCTGTGTCAAAACAAGGATATAGTAATGACTTGAAAGGGGAACAGTTGAAGCCAAAGATTGTACCTAACCCTCTAGTATGGCAATGGTTCACTGTACTGTACTAAAAAGACATGAAGACAGAAAGAAAATTAAGAAGCAGTGACTCTTGGTAGAAAGGAGAAAAAGTTGTCAAAGCTGTGCAGTCCTGCGCTATAGAATTAAAATTAAGAGTAAATTGTTCATTTAAAAAAAAGAGCCTAAATGGCCAAAGTAACATATTTTATTGAGTCAAATTTATATCAAAGACCTGCAGCTTCATAGTTTTTGCCATTGTTCCTTTCCGTTATGGTAACGTTGTCTCTAAGTGACACCTCAGAAAGCATTGTGTCAAAAGAGAGAATGCTATGTCCCGTGTAACACAGAAAAATGAAACCACAATCAGATAGGTTATTAACATATTTGTAGTTTACATAAATGATATAAACCCAAGTATCAAGGTGCCAGATAAAGGGCCACCTCAAGTACCACTAATCGCTCCTGAAAATAAAATGCTAGGTGGTCTGTAGTGGCGTATGCTGCTAAATTTGACTTATATGACAGGGATTTTAAAATAGAATGGCAATATTCTCACTTTCAAATAGGTCTGAAATAAATAAGCATTAGTCCAGCTAATATAGACAAAACTTTAAAAAAAACAACGAAAAACTAAAAAAGCCTTCATGAACTCATCAGTTTAGCCGTTAGCACTAAAATTACATTTCTGAATACACATAATAGTGTACGCTTGTTGTTTCTGTCACTGATAAAGTGTCTCATGTATGCAGCAGGCCTGTAAGCCACAACGTGTGAAACTGTGAAGGTTGAAAGTGATTCGGAGTTAGTTCACGCTCAGGAACCAACTGTGCTCGTGTGATAGCTAGAACTGTCTCCGACTTTTGAAGGGCAGGTTAAGAAGGAGGAAATCAAAAAACCACAGTGGAGTGAATAATAAGACTCAGGAGGAGAAAAAAACCCAGTTTATCTTTCATACTGTCTTAGCCTTTATCTTTTGTCATTTGGTGAGACTCAGCTGTATCGTAGTTTTACAGAATAGCATATTTAAAATAAATAGATATTTGCAATGTTATCTAATTATAATTCATTCTATTTATTCCTCAGCTCATTTTTACTTTGCTATCATAGCTTCGTGTTCACTAACATAGAGTAAACATTGGTTATGACACTTTATATTAAATTTGACTGTCTTTAGTTACAGCAGAAGTGATGTTTGCAGTTTGATAGTGTGTAGAGAACTTTATATTTCAAGTTACTCTAAAACAATTAAAAACTATACAAAAACGTGGGTGACAGAATATAATTACAGAACTACCAAACTTTTGCATCCGATATGCCGCTGCAGCTGTTACATATTCCCCTGCTGCTCCATGCTATTTGTTATTTTCCGCTTTTTGACACCATCTGTATTGCTTTGATCCACTCCTTTCTTTCTTGGTCTGTAGCAGCTTGGAGGAAGTAGTGAGTCTCGTCTGCAGTGATGATCTCAAATAGGTTGCCATCAATATCTTTTTTTTTGGCTGAAAGCATTGAAAGACAAGGCGATGAGTTAAAGGGGATGACGTGAAGACAAACTATTAGAAGAAAAGCAACATGTTTATTGCATGGCGGCAGTCTCACACACCATCAGGCACATAGTCCACAGCTGTGACCACCGCCCCACGGAGGTGGATTGAGCCCAGAGGGTCATCAGCCTGACAAGAAGAAAAGAAATTAGAGGAATATAACAGAAGGAAGACAACTTGTGTAACTAGGGAGGGGTTGTTTCTAAACGATTACCCCTTATTGTTTCAGTTCTTTAAATTATTTTTACCGTTATTATTTTGAGCGTAAACTTAGAGGAGAGCGTGCTTTTGCTGTAGCAGCTCCCAAACTGTGGAACTATCTCCCTTTAGAGATTAGACAGGCCACTTCCCTACCTGTTTTTAAGTCATTCCTGAAAGCCCACCTCTTTATGGCCTTTGACACTACGTGAGATGTTGGTTTTTAGTTTTCAGTTTTATTTTTGTTGTTTTTAGTTGATTCTATGCTGTTTTATCTTGTTTTCTTTTTTAATATAGGGCTGTTTTAATTTTTTATGTATTATGTATTTTATTTATCTATTTTTTGCTGATTTCTGTTATTCTATTGTTTTTAACTTATTTTCTGTACAGCACTTTGGTCCTGTGCAGGGTATTTTAAAGTGCTTTATAAATAAAATTGGATTAGATTGCATATCTCCAAAATCAGTATTTACCTTTGCAGGATCGTAGTAATGTATATAGGCAGGGTCATCTCTGAGTATGAATTTTCGCACCTTCCAGTTCTTCCGTCTATGTCCCTGTGACAAATAACACAGTTTGAGTTATCAGATTTTTTATTTGATTGTATCACTCAGCAGCGAACACGGGTTTCCTCTTTGAGAGAGTGACACGACTGCTGGAGGTTACTGCTATCTTTATCTCTGTTTTGAAGGATGTTTTGCAGCAAGACAAATGACAACAGTGGCTTCAAATCGGGAGACGTCTGCAGACTTTGTAGGTCAACTTTCTAAGAGTATATGTTGCAACAAAGATGCTGGGAACATTTTTCTTGTTTTCTGATTCACCTGTTTAACCAAACAGCCCTGTTTTATGATGTTTCCTCTGAATTCTTCCTTTAGAAGAACATCTTCATCACTGGAGTAGCCTTCACAAAAGAAGCCACTGTCTGCCTGCAAGCACAACAAAACAAATGTATATATATTTATAATATACAATGCTTTTGCCGAGTCCATAAAGTCTATGTATAATACAGTTAACATATTGTTAAATGGCAGTGTTTGCTCAGGTTAACTTACAAAATAATAGAGAGCTTTTGTCTCATCTAAGAAGGCTGCTTGCTCTCCGCTTTCTGCTCCCTCTTTTGATAAGTCACCTGCAGGCTGGAGAAAACCCTCATTCATGAGCCCTGTTGCCAACATGAGTGCCTCAGGTCTATTTCTCGCCTTTTCCTTTGAAATCAGCCAGTCTATCACCGTTGCACCTTTGCAAAAATGGGGAAACGGAGAAAAATGGTGAGAACATTTGAAGTTAAAAAAGAAATTCTTGCACACCTGTTACATCAACAAAACTGAGCCAGGTGTACCGGTGAAGCAGTGGTTGAAGACTCGATTCTCCTGTTCCAGTTTTAACTCTTTCACGCCTTCATCCTGGTTTTTCATCTCTGTGTACAGCGCACTGAGGAAATAATGAGAGTGCTGTCAGTGTTGCTTCTTCATTCTATTGAAGTACAAGCACTTTACAGCTCACTGAACCTCACTGAAGTAATGATGTTCCAGTAATTTAGCCGTTGTAGCTAGGCATGCTGGGATATCAGATTTCACATTTTGTATATATGCTGTAACCTTAAAATAGGTACTGTAATCTGATAGCAAGTGTTTATATAATAGACAGACAATTACTGTTAGCTGCTGCTGTAGTTCTTAAAGTATAATGAATAAAATATTAACACAATTTAACACAACATACGCTAGGTTGACTGTTTCAGGCAGGCGAATGGAGCGTCTGGTAGACTTTCTGGCAAACTTTTTTCCCCCTTGGATGCAGGTAATGGCTCTCTTGATGTCCTTGACCCAAAGCTCTCTCTCCTCCACGTATGAGGCTTGAAAAAAGTGATCTTGCTTCTTCTCAGTGGTTATCTTGAAAACCAGCTAAAACAAGCATATTTAGTCAGTCTAACATTTAGATGGCATTGATGGTCTCAATTTGAATCTACCTTTTAGTACTTTTACTGTGGAGTGTGAATAATGAATAATCTCTACATCTAACTCTTTAGAACTAGTTCTTAATACATTATATGGACAAAAGCTACTCCTTGTAATGTTTGAATTCAGCTGTTTTTATTCCCACTGCCACAGTGTATGAAATCAAGCACTTAGCCATGCAGTAGGCCTCTACAAGGTTTGAAGAGCTCACTGAAACAGGATGCCTGATTGCAACAAGTCAGTCAGTGAAACTTTCCTTCTTCTTCTTCTTTTCCCCGGTCAGCTGTGAGTGGCCTTATTGTAAAATGGAAGCATTTAGGAGTCACGACAGCTCAACCACAAAGTGGGAGACCACATAAAGCTGCAGGGTGGGGTCACTAAGTGTGCAAAAGTCACCAATGTGCCAATGACTCAATAACTGCAGTTTTTGAGTCAGTAGTTCCCACCCTCTTTTTTTTCCATATAGCAACATTTTCTTACCATCCTCTTGACAAAATCCTGACAAGGGCTGCTCAGTGTTGCTCCCTTCAATGGGATCATCCCTTTAGGTGAACGGTCTGTTTTCTTTTTATAGAAGTCCACTCCATCTTCTGACAACACCACCCACACTGCACTCCAGGAGTTTAGCAATGTACCCTG